TCCCAGTACTGCTGATGCTGCTGGTTCAGGGACCATACTTGGACATCTGCTGTGTTAAGAAATCACATTCTGATTTTTCAAGCAGAATTGTTGCTTCTGGGCTTGTTTAAAGGACTTACAAATTTCTTCCAAAAAATGAAAGCCTAAAAAAAAAAGACCCCACCTCTTCCCTCAAATAAATTTTTTGTTGTTATAAATATTTGAAAGTGAAACTGAAAATTGCTCGGTAGTGTCCGACTCTTTGAGACCCCGTGGACTATACAGTCCATTGAATTCTCCAGGCCAGAATACTGGAGTGGGTAGCCTTTCCCTTCTCCAGAGGATCTTCCCAACTCAGGGATCGAACCCAGGTCTCCCACATTACAGGTGGATTTTTTTTTTTTTTTTTTTTTTTTGCAGGTGGATTCTTTACCAGCTGAACCACAAGGGAAGCCCATAAACAGTTGGGTTTTATGTTTATTTAAATACTGAGAGACTGCAGAGTTTATCTTTTTGCAACCCAAAGATCATGATAGTAAAATCTCTAGTTACATAAAATTAGATGGGGATATTTGATATATCATCTGAGGGTTAAGCAGACATCTCCAGCAGCAGGGAACTTGTACAGGGTGCTTTCCCCCTTCTCCCCAGAAAGGTTTTCTCTCCAAAAGGTTTAAGGAGCACTTTTATATAAGAGTTTCCAGTAAAATAAAAAGGAGGGGAGAGGATCTATGTAGGACTGCCAGCTCATACAACTTTCATCACTATCCTTTCATGAAAAACAGATATTTTGACCCCTAAAGTTAGTTAAGATATACTCTCAGAGGAAAGGACAATTTGGCAAATTGAATAATTTTATGAAGAACTCCCAACTGTATCCATATACTTTTTAATTGCTGTTGACCAGTGATAGCTTCATATTTGGGAGCCAGTGCCCTAGTGCTTTGAAGGTAAGGTCACAGAAAGCCAAATTTAATTTTGGGTCCTTGAGGTTTTAAGTTAGAATGAACCTGTAGTATACCTCCCTTGAAACATTCTGTGTAATTTTGAGATTATTTTGCAGGTACAATTCATATATATAGAATGCTTTGAGGTAAGGAGACACTATGTGACACTTTTCTCTCGCTGATTTTCTAGAATAACTATGCTCTGGTCATACTATCTAATTCTTAATTATATGCTAATATGAGTTTGTTTTTCTTTTCTTGCTTTTTAATCCAAGTATATCTTGTCTTTTCTTAAATGGAATATAAACTTAAGTGTAAACACTGTGCTTCTCTTCTTTATCTCTTCTGTGCAAAGTCAGTGGCCTGCATAAATTGATGCTGGACCACGGAAAAACAGATCTTTAGATTATAGTTGCATCACTCCTTGTCAGTGGAAATGTACAATGTAAGGTATTTATGACTCTTACTTTGTAAATAGGTAAACCTTTTTCAGCTGTTGACATTATTCACTTCTTATAACCCCATTAAAAAAAATATTTATTTATTTCGCTGCACAGGGTCTTAGTTGTGGCATGTGGGATCTAGTTCCCCGACCAGGGATTGAACCCAGGGCTCCTGCATTGGGAGCTCAGAGTCTGAACCACTGGACCAAGGAAAGTTCCTTATAACCCCATTTTTTATGGACATCACAATTGTAAACTTCAGCTCAGCTGTTAACTAAGTGATCCAAAATGATGGCTTACAGAATTGAAAGGAGATTGATGAGATTTTTACTCCAGTGTCTCAGCACCCATAGTTTGTGCAGAGGAGGTGCTTTTTAGGTCTATGCACAGATGAGTTCCACAGGACCCACACATACTTCTTGCCTCTTTTTTCCTCCCCTCTAGAAGCAATATATACCTTCATGGTGTTTGCAGTGCCCCCACAGAAAACGGGTTGCTACCTGGGGGTTCTTCAAGAATTACCCAGCAATCAATCATGTTTTTTTTTTTTACAGTATTAATAAAGTTAGGTTTTGGTTGATTTTGATCTAAAATTTGGATTTACTGATGATTGATTGATTAATAGCTATAAGTCCAAACTATATAGCTTTGTCATTGTGTTCAGTTAGTTATAAGTCGTGTCCAATTCTTTGCAACTCCATGGACTACAGCACACCAGGTCTCCCTGTCCCTCACTATCTCCTGGAGTTTGCCCACTTTATAGCTTTGGGTTTACCTAAAACTATCTGAGCTATGATTCATACTTTATTTAGAGTTAGTATTTCTTTTGGAGAATAACTAATGGGTGACTTTTGGTGATCTTGATAGTTTTAAGATATCCCATACAATGTTTGCACTGCAGTGTTAGAATTAGCAGAGGTCAAAGGCCTTATATGTGAAGCTGAGTTGTGTTAACTACAAAGTGCACTGTCTTTGATAAATTGCTAAAGTTCTCTAAGCCTCTGTTTCTTCATCTTTAAGATGGGCGTAGTATGTACTTCATAGCCATCTGAGAATTAAATAAGGTAATATATGTGAAAATATTGCAAACTACAAAATAGTATGTGCCATTATCATATGCTTACAGCAGTATACAAATAATCCATCTCTCAAATCCACTAAAAGTTGTTGTTTTTTTCTCATGAATGCTTTTACATTACTTAAAACTTTGATGAGAAGTCTCATTTATTAGACCAACTTCTATTTATAGGCATAGTCATACTCTTAAAGGGTTCAGTTAAAACTTGCCGTTAGAAATACAATATGAATAAGGCCCAGACATGTTAGGACAGAGTCATCTATTAATATGCATAAGATACATGGTATTATGAGGTATCCAGAGATGACATTTTTAGGCCCTAATGTATTTTTACTTGTTCACATTCTGATTTACAGAAAGGGTTTGAACTTACTTTGTAAAATAAGCATATCAATGGTACTGTTTTTATATTTGCTTTCATTTAAAAAGGTCTTGATCATCATGGTTCTTGGATTTAAAGATTTTGCAATTCTTACATTTTGGGAGATGCTATGATCTCTACTCAGAAGAATTTGAGACTGGGATATAGGAAACTTGGTTTCCTGTGTGAGAATTTAGTAACTCTCTTTACCCTTAGATAATATATATGACTAGGGGTAGGTCAGTCAGTTCACCTTGAATTGTTTAATGAAATGAGCATTGATTTAATTACTTCTGGTTTCTTTAACTGCTCCTGATTCTCTAAATACCAGGAATGTCTCTCGGAGGATGCTTACAGTTTTGTACCACCTTGGTGCCTCTGACACCCCCCACCCCCACTTTTCAGGGTGTGTGGGATCACCCCAAGGGAAAGCAAATAATAACTTGGAAAGTTTGAAATGAAACATGTAATAGATTTAAAAATAGTGAGTTTTCCCCTTTCCTAGGACCCAAGTTAGACATTGAGATGACTAGGTAATGCTAAGGAACAATGACATGGCTGAAGAAGGACAACATACTAATATGAACACAACCATCTCTCTTCCACCTTGCCTCTGCCCCCATATCTTTCTTTAATTCCTTACAGGCACCCAAATGACATATACCTTGCCAGATTGCCTGGGTTCTAATCCTGGCTCCTCTAGTTTCTCTTTTGTGACCTTGTACAAAGTATTTTCTGCATGTATCAGTTTTTTCATCTGCAAAATGGGCATGACAATATTAGTACCTGTCTCATAGGGTGGTTGTGAGGATGCAGTCAGTTAATCTGTAAACCACAGAGCTGGCATGCAGTGTATGCTATATGAGTATCAGGTAATATTATTATCTTTCTAAAGATTAATTTACTGATATATTTGGAGTCATTGAACATGTTCCATTTCTAGGGTAAAAAGTTGAATTTTCCTGGCTCTAGTAATTTCAAATTCCAGTGACTAAAAACCAGAAAAACATGTTTTTTTAAAAACATTCCACCTGTTCCTGTAAAATCCATTAAGTTCTCTGAAGAGATCCACATCTGCTATTAGTATAAAAGAAATTGCACATTGCAGATAAAATGGAAGAGTGTTTTTCATTCAGACCCAACAGTGACACTGATTCATGGCCATCTGATTTATAATATTGAGCAAGTTACTACAAATATGAACTTTCCAGGTGTTAGTCACTAAGAAAAGAATTTGACAGATTTTTTTCTGGAAAAAAATATTCAAGGCAACCGATGCAATAAAGGAAGAAAAAGATTCTGATGCAATAAAGGAAGAAAAAGATTTCATAAGTATTGTGTAATTTAAGACCATAAACACATTACTAACCCCCTTTATACAGGAAAACTTTCTCAATGATAAGTTAATGAGACATAAGGTGGATGATAGAAGTCTATAGTATTTAATTAATTCTTTATTATATTTTGATGGCTACTTTTCTGAAAATGGTAAACCCCAGATTTCATTTTTTTTAGTAGCTGATTTAACTTACTCTCATTTAATAATAAAGCTCTTACTAGCTACTTACTAGCTACTGAGGTAATCCCAAATGACTTTAGACAGTTTGGGGTTATAAATGGTTCTTTGGGTTTTACTATTGTTTGTCTGTCTTCTCTTGTCTCAAGAGCTATGATGAATCATCACAGTCCTTCTTTACCTCTAGTGGCATTTCTGACTTTGCTGCCTCTGATCTGCTGAGCAACTGAATTTTCACACTGGGTGCAACTGTGTTTTTTAAAAAGTTCTCCCTTGCTGAAAACTTCAATCTCTTTCCTTTTGTGCTCTAGAGCCTTGCTGTTCAAAGAGGGGCCCCACAGACCAGCAACATTGGCGTCACCTTATTAGAAATGCAGAATCTTGGGCCTCACTCCAGACTTACTGAATCAGAATCTGTGTTTTAACAAGATTCTCAGATGATTCAAATGCACATTAAAATTGGAGAAGCTCCAATTTAGCACATCAACTTTGTGACAGTTCATTTTTCTATTTCGAGATCCATTTCTGGCTTACAAATTGTGTTCTGTGGTGTTTGATGTTATATAGTTTGCCAGATTGTTTTACCTCTAGAAACAGGGATGTTGTTATAACATCTAAGAGTGTATTCATGTTTGGTAATAAGTAATTGATGAGTGCTTTATTTTCTCTCCCCTAGGATATCCCTGGTGATCTTGGAAGAGTCCATATCATGGAATCAATCTCCATGATGGGAAGCCCCAAGAGTCTTAGTGAAACTTTTTTGCCTAATGGGATAAATGGTATCAAAGATGCAAGGAAGGTCACTGTGGGTGTAATCGGAAGTGGGGATTTTGCCAAATCCCTGACCATTCGACTTATTAGATGTGGCTATCATGTGGTAATAGGAAGCAGAAATCCTAAGTTTGCTTCTGAATTTTTTCCTCATGTAGTAGATGTCACTCACCATGAAGATGCTCTAATAAAAACAAATATAATATTTGTTGCTATACATAGAGAACATTATACCTCCCTGTGGGACCTGAGACATCTGCTTGTGGGTAAAATCCTGATTGATGTGAGCAATAATATGAAGGTAAACCAATACCCAGAATCCAATGCGGAATATTTGGCTTCATTATTCCCGGACTCCTTGATTGTGAAAGGCTTTAATGTTATCTCAGCTTGGGCACTTCAGTTAGGACCTAAGGATGCCAGCCGGCAGGTATGTATTTTTACATTTTATTCTTATTTAGCTGGTATTTTATACTTAGGTAGACAAATACATACCTAAAAAATGAATTCTGATGCTCTCCCATGATTATCATTTTGTAAACTATGTATGAGCTCCTGAAGATTTGTGTTCTGACCTTGTAAGGACATATTTCTATCCTCAAAATGATGTAAAAAGCTGAGAAAATAACTTGAACTTTCCTATCATAATCAGCTAATTGAAGAAAAAGATAAGATTTGTAGATGAATAATGGGCCGTCTCCTTGCTTCCTCAAAAATTAAAACAATCTCAAACATGTCTTTTTTCTTTGCCTCTCTTCCTCCCACCCTTTCTTCCTTCCTCCTCCTTTCTTTGCAAACAAAAAGACGTAAACAGTGTTTGCCTATTTGGTAAACAGTGTTCCAGCTCTGCTTTTATAAGTAAACACATAGAGTAGTGCACCTTAAAAATCTTTCAAAAGCGTAGTTATGCATTATATTGGAGCAAGATGATAAAATACTTTTATTATTTTTGCCCATAAAGACAGTTGATTAGATGTCTTAGAAAATAAATTTGAGTATTTACATCGCTGTATGCTGCATATCATGCTTTCCTGGTGGCTGAGCAGTAAAGAATCTGCGTGAAATGCAGGAGACACCAAAGACATGATTTTGATCCCTGGGTGGGGAAGATCCCCTGGATAATAGCACGGCAACCCACTGCAGTATTCTAGTGTGGAGAATCCCCATGGACAGAGGAGCCTGGCGGGCTATAGTCCATGGGGTCGCAAAGAGTCAAGACATGGCTGAGTAAAGCACAGCACAGCACAGCATGCTGCATATGAGAGTCATGATAACTGTTCATTTTCAGGTGTTTAATTTGGAAGACCTAGTAAAAGACTATATACTTTCCTAGAGACTGTTCTGAAGCCTTTTTTTTCTTTTGCATATCCACCAAGGTTTAGCGATAGATCAAATCAAGTAAATGAGAGATAAACCAGAATTTAATCCTTTGCCCATATTAGTGATAATTTTAATATTCAACAAAATAAATTATGGAACAAGAGATTCTTCAATGTGAAATACAGAGAGAGTTTCATCTGTATCTTGTGCCTTTGCATATGTTTGATTTATTCTTTTAGGTAAATTATAAAGTTTCATAATTTTTAGTGTTTTTCCCCAATGAATTAAATAAAAAAGTTTAATTCACCATTGTCACACCTGTAATAAACTGAGAATGCTTTTCCTTATTTCTTTGATATATATCTCTCTACCTTCACTGTTCCATTTTAGAAGTTCTAACAGTATAGACTTTTTCATTTATATGGCTAATGTTAGATAAAATTAATAATCCTAAGAAGTCTACATTCTTTCCATTATATAACTAGGTTCCTGGTGGCTGAGCAGTAAAGAATCTGCGTGAAATGCAGGAGACACCAAAGACATGATTTTGATCCCTGGGTGGGGAAGATCCCCTGGATAATAGCACGGCAACCCACTCCAGTATTCTAGTGTGGAGAATCCCCATGGACAGAGGAGCCTGGCGGGCTATAGTCCATGGGGTCGCAAAGAGTCAAGACATGGCTGAGTAAAGCACAGCACAGCACAGCATGCTGCATATGAGAGTCATGATAACTGTTCATTTTCAGGTGTTTAATTTGGAAGACCTAGTAAAAGACTATATACTTTCCTAGAGACTGTTCTGAAGCCTTTTTTTTCTTTTGCATATCCACCAAGGTTTAGCGATAGATCAAATCAAGTAAATGAGAGATAAACCAGAATTTAATCCTTTGCCCATATTAGTGATAATTTTAATATTCAACAAAATAAATTATGGAACAAGAGATTCTTCAATGTGAAATACAGAGAGAGTTTCACCTGTATCTTGTGCCTTTACATATGTTTGATTTATTCTTTTAGGTAAATTATAAAGTTTCATAATTTTTAGTGTTTTTCCCCAATGAATTAAATAAAAAAGTTTAATTCACCATTGTCACACCTGTAATAAACTGAGAATGCTTTTCCTTATTTCTTTGATATATATCTCTCTACCTTCACTGTTCCATTTTAGAAGTTCTAACAGTATAGACTTTTTCATTTATATGGCTAATGTTAGATAAAATTAATAATCCTAAGAAGTCTACATTCTTTCCATTATATAACTAGGTGTAGCAGGCAAGAATTTCAATGTGGTCTGTTCCAGAGCACGTATATAAACATCTTTAGGGATATATTTAGGAATTTGTTTTCCCTGAACATCACTCAGAGATTTTACAGCAAACTTTTTCTAACACTAATCCAGGTTCACTCCAACATGAACTTGGTGTTCAACAAATATTTGTTGCCTTCTCAACCATATTACAATATATGAGAGTATTTGGTAGCTTGAAAGCCCACCCTCACCCCTAGTGATCTCGATCACATCAAACAGCAGTTACTTTTACTATTTAAATTAACTAAGCCTAATAATGCCATTTCCCCCCCACCAAATATATTACCCTCATTTAAAGATGAAAGAATTTCATAATTCTGACCAATGAAGTAATACACCTGAGATTATCCATGGTTTTGGTGAATTGGTTTCTAAGCCAGAAGGTAAATTTTATAAATAGTATAGCATCATGACATAATTTAGAAAGTTTTAGTTGCAAATTCAACCATCTCATTCAGTATACTCATTCAGCATCTTTTCCCTTGCTGAACAGCCATAAAGGGCATTGCTTGCAATCACTCTGCTTGGCAGAAGCACTGCAGTCCTAGAGCTAAGCTGTCCACCAAAGCCTGGAGAACCAGCCGCAGCCCACGCCCTGCAGAGTGTGGGAGCTGGATGGGGGAGGGGCATGGCCAGCAGCTTGAATTCCACCTAGACTACTGAAGAGAAGACCTTACCTTATCTGTTCAGAAGCACGTGGTTTAGAAATTTTTCCTCCTGCCTTCCTTCCCCTGAGGACTTGGTCCCAGGTTCACGCTAGATTTTTCTGCATTTTCATTTCATGTCATCGAAGCTAGCAAGGACTTTGTTGTGTTTTTACAATGCTATCTTAACCTATAAATAAATAGATTAATAGATTAACAAATGCTTTATCACTTTAGTTTTTTGTATCACTCCAGGTCATCATATGTGATGCTCCATGGATTAAATGGAGCATGTGATTGTTACCATTTTTATAAGCAACAATAGTAATGATGAGTCTTCTGGTTTTTTCCCACAGGTTTATATATGCAGCAATAATATTCAAGCTCGACAACAGGTTATTGAACTTGCCCGTCAATTGAATTTCATTCCCATTGACTTGGGATCATTATCATCAGCCAGGGAAATTGAAAATTTGCCCCTGCGACTGTTTACTCTCTGGAGAGGGCCAGTGGTGGTAGCCGTAAGCCTGGCCACATTTTTCTTTCTTTATTCTTTTGTCAGAGATGTGATTCATCCCTATGCTAGAAACCAGCAGAGTGACTTTTACAAGATTCCTATTGAGATTGTGAATAAGACCTTGCCCATAGTTGCCATTACTTTGCTGTCCCTGGTCTACCTGGCAGGTCTCCTGGCAGCTGCTTATCAGCTTTATTATGGCACCAAGTATAGGAGATTCCCACCGTGGCTGGAGACCTGGTTACAGTGTAGAAAACAGCTTGGATTATTAAGCTTTTTCTTCGCTTCGGTCCATGTTGCCTACAGCCTCTGCTTACCAATGAGAAGATCAGAGAGATACTTGTTTCTCAACATGGCTTATCAGCAGGTATGGAGCATGTTTGATATTTATCTGATGCTAGTAAAATACTTGATTAGTATAAGTTATAAAAACTAACATTGAAAATAGTGTAAAACTTTACATACTTTGTAATAGAAATGTTGGTATATTTAGGGAGGGGAAAGAATTATTCTTTAAACAAGGTTTTTGCATAAGAATTATATGGCTAATTCAGAATAATTTATAGTTAAAGCTTCTGTCATCCCTTTCTCTGCAGAATAAAAGCAGAGAAGTGAAGAGTTGGGTTTTATTTTCCTTTTTTGTTACAACTGCAGTGATTACTTTCAGCATCAGTTAATTATTTTATAATTGGCCATGTTCCCTGAAATAATAAGGCAGCTTTTAGTAAACACATACAATAAAATTCAGCCTAGTGAAAATATAAAAAAGAATAGCAAGTCAGGATTGCTGGGTTTTGTTATCAAAAAGCAAGAAAGGTACTAGTTCCTCAGGTGAAGCTTTTCTAACACTTAACTCTTAAAGGAAATCTCAGGGAGAGCCTCGTGGAATTGGCTTAATGATGGCATAGACTATGATTTTCCTCAACAATTTCCATTCAGTAAATATCAGGGGTTTCACTGAAGCTCTTTGATGTAGCATTTTTCATTGAAGCTCTTTGATGTAGCATTTTTCAGTGAAACTTGAGCACAGTATACCAAACAAATGTGTAAGAGCTTTTGCATTTTATAAGGAAACAAAGCATTATGGTCCAAGTGTGTAGCATCCAGTAATTACACTTGTTTCAACAATAAAACCTAAAATAATTTGAAAAAAAATTACTAGATTGATGTTCTTTAAGCCATTTTCTCTAAAAACCACTTCACTTAAATGAATGGTAAAGCTTTGATATCTACTCTACCAGCTTCCTCACCTCCTTCAAGTCTTCAAATTTGTTGACATAAATAGTAAACAATCAATAGTCAGATTAGAAGAGAGTTTTATCCACACCAAGCTGAAGACTATAACCTGGGAAACAACCTCTCAGGAGCTCTGAGGGGACTGCTGTGAAGAGGCAGAGAAGGAGCCAGAATGTATATGAATTTTTTAGCTAGGAAATAAGTGTGGTCAAGCATACATCCTTGATAAAGGATTAATGCTAATCACAAAGAACAGATATTTCAAGTTAATAATTTCAGTGTTTTTCTATGTATTGGAAGATGCAGGAATCTGGGGTCATTGAAATTCTCCCAGAAGTATGCATCTTAACTATCTAGGGGCCTATATTTCATAGCCCAGAAAGCCTCATCCTTCTGTTTTCCTACTGAATTCTCCTCATGGCCCATTGTGAACTGACAATGGATTGTGATTAAACCCTTTGTAAAACTTGATGGTGGGCAGCATTCTTTTTTTTTAATGGTAAAGCTGATGTACGTTTGTATAAAGTACATCTTAGTTATAAAGTTCAAACCAATCATGTATGAGCCAGAATGACTTCCCCATACCTCAGAATGTGAAATTTTTTTCCATCAAGTCCTTATCTCCTCAGCGAGGCCTTCACTGGACACTGTTTGACATTCTGCCACCTGCTTCTGACTCAACCCTGGTATTCCCAGCCTCTCCTACTTCCCCTGCTGTACCTTCTCTTTGTTCAATAGTATTTTCCACCTTCTAACACACTTTGTATTCTTTATTTACTATTCTGTGCCTTCTCTCATCAGAATGTAAGTTCATAAGAGGAGGAGTCTCTGTCCATTTTGCTCACTGATATGTGCCTAATGCCTGGAACTGTGCCTGACACATTGTAGACACTCAAAAAACATACTCATGGAATGAAGGGGTGAATTGGGAGGTCAGGCATTGATAGATAGATACAGGTTGTAGTCTCCGGGTATACTGGGATATGCTGTTATTCTGTATTGTTGTATAGACACCAAATAAGATAGTAAGAACATTTTCTCTACAGAGGAGCTCTGTGGCTTCTTTCAGAATGTTGTTATTGATTGCTTCAGTGAACTAGTGGCTAAGAAATAGCTTTTCTCTCCTTTTTTTTAAACTTAGGTATAATTACCTTGTATGGTTCAGGTATGGTTACCTGAACTAAACTTCAGTTTGGTTACCTGGGAGTGGACAAAAAGTCAAGTTAAGTTAGTTAGTTAAATTAAGTTAGAACCTGTTTTCCTTGAATAGATCAAAGCTTCAACCCAAGGAATCCAAACCTTGATTTGTACTCTAATTATATTGTTTGCATGTAAACAGACAATTCTAAAAGTAGTTCCTATGCAGAATCCGATGCATTCAGAGTTAAAGTCTGGCTTGATTATATGTGCATTCTCAATGTAAGGGGAAGACATTTGGAAAAACACTTAATGAGGCAACTAGACAGTTGAAAAGTATATTAATGAGGTCATTCAAGTAGATAAATATTTTTGCTCCATAGGACCTTATTCTCAGGGCAATTTCAGCTTCCTGGGGAAAAGAAGGTAAGAAGAAAGAGGCAAATCAACATATAAATATTCTATGAGAAAGGAAGGCACAAAGTTTAGAAATCCCCTGCTTGGATTCTAAGTTGAACTAGAATTGTCTAGTTGAACATTCAACCAAATTGAAACCAACGTTTTTTTTTTTTTCCCAACTTTTAAAAATACCGGAAAATTAACTGCCACTACTTCTTTAGTCTCCCTCTGGAACCAACCACTTAGTATTTCAGTGTTGGGACTCCAGAGTCCATGTCAGCACGATGTATTACAAATGTGTCAACTACCCTTATCACACATGGGTGAGGAAGGAGAGGACCTTAGTCCTCTTTTTGTTTAACTTTCTCTTCTCTTTCCCACACACCTGGAACAAATACCATCCAGTAATAGGCTCTCCATAACAGTTCATTAAATTGAATTAGTGCAACTTAAATATGTCTATATATGACGTATTCTTAGGCCAAGAGTGAACTCTGTGCTGAATCAGTTAATGTTCTACCAAACAAAGGAAATTCACATTTGCTTTCTTGTTAGGTTCATGCAAATATTGAAAACTCTTGGAACGAGGAAGAAGTCTGGAGAATTGAAATGTATATTTCCTTTGGCATAATGAGCCTTGGCTTACTTTCCCTCCTGGCAGTCACCTCTATCCCTTCAGTGAGCAATGCTTTAAACTGGAGGGAATTCAGTTTCATTCAGGTACATGGTGTTTGTTTGGTGAGGGGATGGGTGGTACAGAATTTTAATTACAGTTAAGTACAGTTAAAATTTAAATATGTTCCTTATGAAAGAATGCCTCTGGGACTGCTGTTTATGCAAGTAGCTCGTGGAATATATGCTGCTAGAGGCCAGTTTAGGACCATTCTGATTTAGTTAGTAAAAGACCAGTACAGGACTTTACTGGAAGGTTTTGATAGCATTGCCTACTATGTTATAGATAAAGGTTATTTTAAAAAGGAATAGAAAGTGGAAGGTGAGTCAGCTTAGATCAAATTTAACACCAAAGTCAATTTGTTATTGGCCAACTCAATGGAAACTTAATTTATATTCTGAGTCATCTTAATCTGTCTAGAAAAGTTTCATTAGTTGTAATTCAAGTGGAGAGAAGCTCAGTCTCAATATTTTAAAGGAAATGTGTATATATACACAAACACAAGCAATAACAAAACTACGTTAATGGATTATGGCAAGCAACCAGCCTTATGAATCTTGTTAGTATATGTATTTGGCACATCAGTTGTATACATATATGTATGAGGGATTTCAAAATAACATTTGTTGTATGATAAGTTAAACATTCACTTTCTCTAGTAATAGCTATTTAATGAACTTGCATATTTTAATAATATATAATTCAAATTTAGACCCTACCTAAATTATCGTAAAACCAGTATTGGTTGTATCCAAATGGTTTATAGCACAATATGCAGATGAGTGGCATCTGGTGGTACACTAACTTTTGGTTGTTTTGGGGTTGTGTTTTTTGCCTATTTGCTTGTGCTTTTTTTTTAAGTGGTCTAAAAACCTCATTCAGAATAAGGGCCTATCCCTCATCTAAATTAATTTTTCCTTTTTGAGGGAAATAAAATGTGAATATTTTCCCAACTGCTAGTTTAATACCACCTGAAAAGAAATAGAAGGCCCTCTGATAAAAGGTGCTAGACAGGTGCAAAGTTTCATGATAAATTTAGATGAGTAATTGCAAGCAGAACAATTTTCTGCTAGAGAGTTAATCCTTCCCCAGTGAAGTTAGACATTACATTATTATGCTGATAGCATGCTACATTTTGTGTAACATAGACCATTTCTCAAATAAGCAGTTAAATATAATATAGGGAACCCAAAATGCTGAACTTCTCGATTTTTAAATGGTAAACTTTTTAACAAAATATTCTAAAATCCATGGCTGATTCATGTCAATGTATGGCAAAAACCACTACAATATTGTAAAGTAATTAGCCTCCAACTAATAAAAATAAATGAAAAAAAAAATAAAACAAACAAAAAACCAAAATACTCTAACAATATCATTCAATATGGTCAGTAAAACCATTTGAAATGCTTTTTATGTTACACATTAATACTATAAGATTATTCATATTTATCTTCAACTTATATGTGTGTATACCTATGAGAATGCTCTTTAGCATTTAATTATATACATGTGTATATATGTATACATGTATTGCATATGTAATATTCATTTTAAAAAATATACACAACTGGTAGAAATGTGGATAACCTTTAAAAGAAAGTCTTCCAGTTTTTATCAGTATCCTTAAGGAAAAGCCAGATGCTTTGACCAGTAATCCCACTATTAGAAATCAATTCTAAGGAACTAAACCAAAATATAGAAAAGGGCTTAAAGTGACAGGTAATAGCTGAAGAAGGTAAAAAAACAGTAAATGATCAACAAAAAGGAATGGTTAGGTAAATTGTAGCACATCCATTCAGTAGAATACCTTTTAAATTAAACTCATGTTTTCATGTTTAATGACATGAGGAAAGGTTCTAGATGTGATAAACAATCAGAATATTAGAATATATGCAATGTGGCCTTATTTGTGTAAAACAAAGTGTGTATATAAATGTGTAAGAAATATATGAAAATATTAAAATTATTTAATTCAGTAGATAACAAAGAGTAACTCAATAATTTAAGATAAAGTTGTGTTTTCAAAATATAAACATAGTATATCTGGATGGATTAATTCATGAGTTTGAATAATTTTGCTTCTTATTCTGTTTCTCTTTCTTCTTCCCCTGTCCCAAGTCTACCCTTGGATATGTAGCTCTGCTCATAAGTACTTTCCATGTTTTGATTTATGGATGGAAACGAGCTTTTGAAGAAGAGTACTACAGGTTTTATACACCACCAAACTTCGTTCTTGCTCTTGTTTTGCCCTCAATTGTAATTCTGGGTAAGATTGTTTTACTCCTTCCATGTATAAGCCAAAAGCTAAAGAGAATTAAAAAGGGCTGGGAAAAGAGCCAATTTCTAGAAGAAGGTATTGGAGGAGCAGTTCCTCATCTCTCACCAGAGAGGGTTACAGTAATGTGATGATAAATGGTGCTCCCTGCTGCTATATGAAGTTCTCTTCATGCCATTATTTTTATGACTTCCTTTATCTTCACTTGCAAGTGCACTGTCAAACTGCTGTGGGCTGAAACCTGTTCAATGAGATCTCAACTGAATTGATGGTAGAATTTTCTTCAAATTTGTTTTCCCTAATGTCACATTTTGCCAATATGAATCTTTGTAGTCAGTTTATGTTGAAACATAGGTATGTTTTGTTTTGTACAATTATAATGCTATTGTTATTTTAATAAACTTTATTCCATAAACAGGCAGAAATATTTGTAGTTAATAGTATAGATACAACATAATGTTAAAAAAAAAAACTGTGCAAACCAGCAGAACTTTAAGTTTTAATATAATGTGATGGATATTTTTTCCTGAAGCTTAAGTAAGATTCTAATTATTATTCAGCTTAAGAAATAGAAATGCATAACATACATTATTTTTAAGAAAGGACACATTAGGTTAGCATCTAGGTAAGGGTATATGTTAATATCCCTATATTTCTTTCGTAAGATAGGGTTTGAACCAATGTGATTTGTGAGCAAACACAAAGAGACAAACTGAACTTGAAATTATATTTAAAATGTGTTGTAGACATGAAATATATACTGATAATGTGTACCTCATGAAAAGTTTTATTCTTTATCTTGTTACAGAGCAGTTTTATTTGCATATTAATATACTGGAGGGAGAAGACAGTAATATGTGGCCTCCAAAATTGATTTTTCTAATTTAATAACAATCCTTGGAATCATATAGTTATTTCTAGTTAGAGGGAAAGCATTAAGTTTACATACAAGTAGTTGTTTATCAGCTGATTTTTTCTGTTGTAACTTAGCCAGTCATATTCTGAGTGATATAGGATTTTACTGACATTCATTAAGGGATTATAACATGCCAGGCACTGTCCTAAGCACTTTAGTTATATTTTCCCATACAGTAGTTACAACAACCCCTTGACAGAGGTGGTTATTATCCTCATTTTACATATAAGGTTAGTTACTGGATGGAGGATAAAAAAGTTAAGTAATTTGCTCAAGGTCATGCCAGAGCTAGTATTCAAGTCCAGGCAGTCATATTTCAGAGGCTGCGGTTTTAGCCACTAGGCTGCATGGCCCCTGCCCCATCCCCGTGCATTCCAATCTAGATGCTTCCTCTTTGGTATAAAGGCACTGACATTCTTTACAGTGCGTCATGGGTGTCAAAAGATATGTGAAGATAAAATTGTAAATTTATCCTTGCTTGGGGATATAATTCACACTTACCCTAGGAAAGAATCTTGCCTGGGACAGGACCCTAGAGATCGATGGCAGTCCATACACCTCTNTGCTTCCTCTTTGGTATAAAGGCACTGACATTCTTTACAGTGCGTCATGGGTGTCAAAAGATATGTGAAGATAAAATTGTAAATTTATCCTTGCTTGGGGATATAATTCACACTTACCCTAGGAAAGAATCTTGCCTGGGACAGGACCCTAGAGATCGATGGCAGTCCATACACCTCTGTATGCAGTAAGGGACTCCAATAGAGATAGGACCGTAGTAGTAGTTAACAGTGGAGGTCCTACAGAGTCTTAAAAAGTCCCTGTAGATTTGGTCATCTCTTTCTCTCTCTTGAGATGTCCTCCTGCCTGCTCAGCCATTCGTTAGGGAGCAGTTTGCAAGTATGAAGGATATTTAGATGAATGGGTTAATTATGAATCTGCCCTAGAGATATAGAATTATACAAATTATTCATGAATTTTTTGAGTTCTGACATTCCACATTTAAAATTGCATTTTGTTCATACTTTGGTTAGAAAGTCCTACATTTTCCCCCCATTTGCTCTTTCTTCATTAAAATAGAAAGTTGCAGACAAGATACAATGAAATGTATTCTTCTTCCTGAAATTCTAACATTTTAAAACTTGGCCAGTAAGGTTCTACGGAAACCAGCTGCCAAAAAGAAAAGGACTTTTAGTCAGTAGAAGCTACGTTTCCCACCAATGGCTCGCTCCCCACCACCATATCATGTCAGTTTGGTAAACTGCTCATGATTCTCTGGTGTTCTCTTCTTGGTGAATTTTAGTGACTTGTACTTTTTAATTGAGCTTTTCATTTTAATTGTAGCCTTTCTGTCTTGATAATCATTTACTTGTTAGTTCTCAGCAGGGATTCAGTTGGGTGATAACTTCAAGGTAATACCTATAAACTATATAGTGGACTTGTGAAATTAACTACATATTTGTAATTATTTCTTGTCCCTTCAGTTCCACTCCCTTTAAGCCCACGCTTTCACCAGTTAATGTGAAAATACAGTGAAATATTTTTAAAACTTAGATTACTATTGAAGTATATTTACATTGTTGCATGTGTATATTAATTAGCTAATAAGATAAAATTATCACTATTACAGATAAATGGGGCCATTGAAAATATGAAAAAGCAAAGTTTATGAAGTGTATATATGATGTAAAAGTTGTTTGGAATGGTAATATCTTCTTTTCAGTACTACAAAGTTGACATAATTATGAAGTTTTAGAATAAATATAATATGTGCGTGTTCAGTCACTAAGCCACGTCCGTCTCTTTGCAACCCCATGGACTGTAGCCTGCCAGGCTCCTCTGTTCATGAGATTTCCCAGGCAAGAATACTGGAGTGGGTTACCATTTCCTTCTCCAAGGGATCTTTCCAACCCATGGATCCAACATTGGCAGGTGGATTCTTTACCATTGATCCACCAAGGAAGCCCAAGTGTAATATGTTCATTATAATTCTAAATGTTTAAAAGCTTTTCTGAAAGTGGAAAAATACTGACTTTTAATTGCTTTACTTAAATAGCTTTTAACTGCTTTATTTTACTATTTCCTGATTACTTTTCTTAATTATCATTTCTCATAATCATTCTTTAGAAATCATGACTCTGACCTCAGAAGTATGACTGAATTTTGCTCTTGGTAGATGTGAGAAAGTAGTGGGAACTTTAAAGTAGGAGGCTTGTTTTTCCTAAATTATATTTTGAGAAGTGTCCCTGAGAAAATTATAAGAATGTAGAAAATATATCTAGTTGTGAAAGTGAAAGTTGCTCAGTTGTTTCCGACTCTTTGCAACCCCATGGACTATGGAGTCCATGGAATTCTCTAGACCAGAACACTGGCGTGGGTAGCTTTCCCTTCTCCTGGGGATCTTCCCAACCCAGGTATTGAATTCTTTACCAGCTGAGCCACATGGGAAGCCCTAGTTTTAATCCTATGCAAAATAATTAATTTTTTTCCTAAAAGGAAATTAATTATTGGGCTGAATCATGCTACCTAGCTTTTATGCACAGATTTCATATGTCTCCTCTATTAAGGATATTTGAAATCATGTTTAAATAGGAAATAGTCATGTTAGCATATATTTTTCAAAGCATATATGGAAATTAGCCTAGGTTGTCTACAGGTAGAGATTTTTATTTAAATTTTGAAGTATTTTAAAGTATGAATAAATTATATTTATAGGTATTTATCAGAGATAATTATTTTGTGCTACATATGGGATTGGTTAATGAGCTCCAATGTTAAAACTACCTGATTAATTTCTTATAAATTAGCATAATTTTGAGTTGATTAAGGGGTTTTAATTTCAAAATTAATTTGCTAATAGTAGCCTAATATGTATTCACCCTTACAGTGAAATTATGAAAATTGTGTAAAAGGGCTTTTGAGAATATATCATATCCATTTTTGTTATTGTTTATCTCTTATTAATGTGATAGAATCTTAATTATTTTTAATTGCCTTTTGCCATTAAACTATTTCATAAAAAATTCTGTACATAGAGGTTCCCCCTGCCAAAAAATTTTTTATTTGTGAAATTTAAAGTTTCTTATGTGATGTTTTAAACAAAGTGCCATCAGTGTAATTCATAAGTATTTCTTTAGGAATACTATGAACACTGAACCTGTGTCGGTCTATAAAATCTCTGTTTTGAAATAAGTATTTAAACAGCCTAAAATGTTGCATTGAAGTTATTTTGTAAGTTCATGACTTAAAGTATTGTAACACATGGTATAATAACCTGAGCCTGGTGTTAAGATTTATATTTGTGATGTGTTGTCATGAAAATGAGCTGCTCCACCCTCAGCTGTTCATAAGCCACTAAAGCAAATTCTGATACATATTCAGTATATGTAATTGCTCTAAATGAAACTGTAATAATTTTTGTTGGAAACAGTTTGTTCATACTTTTGAACAGTGAATTTTATAGGAACTAATAGATTCTTCAATTTTGTTTTAAGCAAACCTCTGAAGTGCTAATATTCAGAGATTCTGTCAATATGTTACCAAAAAGCATTTAGTTTAGCTGAATACACGTACACACCATAATCCCCCCTACCATGGTTTCATTCTCTGTGATTTCAGTTACTCACAATCAACCGTGGTCTGAAAATATTAGATGGAAAATTCTAAAAATAAACAATTCATAACTTTTAAATTGTGTGCCATTCTGAATAGCATGGTGAGATCTTGGGTGTTCCCACTCCAGCTGGCCTAGGATGTGAATCAGGCTTTTGTTCAGCATGTCCTTCCCCTTAGTTACTTGGTAGCTGTCTTGGTTATCAGATTGGCTGTTGTGGTATTGCAGTGCATGTAATTCTTATTTTACTTAATAATGGCCCCGGAGTACAAGAGTAGTGACGCTAGGAATTCAGATATGTCAAAGGGAAGTTGTAAAGTGTCCCCTCTAAGTGAAATGGTGAAAGTTTTTTACTTAATAAGGAAAGAAAAAAAGTTGTATCCTGAGATTGCTAGGATATATGGTAAGAATGAATCTCCTATCTATGAAATTGTGAAGAAGGAAAAAGAAATTCATGCTAGTTTTACATTGCACTTCATACTACGAAAGTTATATAGTGTGTGACAAGTGCTTAGTTAAGATGGAAAAGATATTATATACAATAAGAGATTTTTGAGAGAGACAGACTACATTCACATAACTTTTGCTATAATATTTTGTTATAATCTATTTTATTATTTGTATTTTGTTGTACTCTCTTACTGTGCCTAATTTATAAATTAAACTCTGTCACAGGTATGTGTGTATAGGGGAAAAAAAACAGTATATATAGAGTTTGGTACTATTAGTGGCTTCAGGCATCCACTGGGGGGTCTTGAAACATCTCCTGTGGATAAGGGGAGGACTACTGAACAGATATATATATTTTTTTAACTTCCCGAATCATTGGATTAACATCATGGAGTCATCCAAAATTAGGGCGGACTCTTTGGATTCTCCCAATGGCTAGATGGGCT